TGGGGTTATTTCCTCGGGGATTTTGGGTGTTTCCCCCCCCATTTTTGGGCCGTTTTCGGGCGGTTCCCGGCAGGTTCTGGTGTTATTTCCTCAGGGATTTTTGGTGTTATTTCCTCGGGGATTTTTGGGCTGTTTCCCCCCACATTTTTGGCTGTTTCCCCCCCCATTTTTGGGCTGTTTTCGGGCGGTTCCCGGCAGGTTTTGGTGTTATTTCCTCGGGGATTTTTGGGCTGTTTCCCCCGTTTTTGGGCTGTTTTCGGGCGGTTCCGGCAGGTTCTGGTGTCCCTGCAGGTGCGGATGATGCGCAAGCCGGGCCGGGCGGAGCGCACGGCCGTGGTGGTGGGCACGGTCACCGACGACGTTCGCATCCAGGACGTGCCCAAGCTCAAGGTCTGGGGCAAAAAACCCCGGCTTGGGGCAAATCCGGGAATTTGGGGCAAATTCGGGTGTTTGGGGGGAAATCTGGGAATTTGGGGCAAATCCGGGAATGTGGGGGGGAAATCTGGGATTTTGGGGGGGAAATGGGGGATTTTGGGGGGGAAATGGGGGATCTTGGGGCAAAATCCGGGAATTTGGGGCAAAATCTGGGAATTTTGGGGGGGAAATGGGGCTTTTTGGGCTGGTTTTGGGCTGGTTTTGGGCTGTTTTTGGGCTGTTTTTTGGGCTGTTTTTGGGGATGATTTTGGGCTGTTCCTGTCTGATTTTGGGCTGTTTTTGGGGTGTTTTTTAACTCTTTCCTGTCTGATTTGGGGCCGTTTTTGGGGATGGTTTTGGGGATGATTTTGGGCTGTTTTTTAGGCTGTTCCTGTCTGTTTTTGGGCTGTTTTTAGGGATGATTTTGGGCTGTTTTTTAGCTCTTTTCTGCGTGATTTTGGGCTGTTTTTGGGGAAGATTTTGGGCTGTTCCTGTCTGATTTTGAGGTGTTTTTGGGGATGATTTTCGGCTGTTTTTTGTGCTGTTCCTGTCTGATTTGGGGCCGTTTTTGGGCTGTTTTTTAACTCTTTCCTGTCTGATTTTGGGGTGGTTTTGGGCTGTTTTTGGGCTGTTTTTTGGGCTGGTTTTGGGCTGTTTTTATCTCTTTCCTGTCTGTTTTTGGGCTGTTTTTGGGCTGTTTTTTAACTCTTTCCTGTCTGATTTTGGCCGGTTTTTGGGCTGTTTTTGGTCTGTTTTTGGTCTGATTTTGGGCTGTTTTTGGGGATGTTTTGGGGCTGTTTTTTGGGCTGGTTTTGGGCTGTCTTTGGGCTGTTTCTGGCTCATTTTGGGCCGCTCCTGTGTTTTCGGCCAGGTCTGCGCCCTGCGGGTGACGCGCGGCGCTCGCACGCGGATCCTGCGGGCCGGGGGCTCCATCCTCACCTTTGACCAGCTGGCCATGGCCACCCCCAAGGGCAAGGGCACCGTGCTGCTCTCAGGTGGACGCAGACCCCTCCCCAAATTCCCCAGACCCCAAAAATCCCCGTGAAATTAACATAAACTATCCCAAAATAACATAAAACAAATATCAGCTCTAAAAACCCCAAAATAACCCCAA